CTCCGATTCATCTCAGCTTCAGTTGGATTCGTCTCTCCTTATGACAACCAAGTCGTGGAATTTAAGAATCACAGCTCCTTCTCCTCTAGTGCTCAGCCCCTTGGTTTCGCAGGCAGCGTGCTTGTTGTCTGTTAGGCTTTTCTTTTTGCTGCTGAGGAATTTCGACGTGGATTGTAGATGCCAAAGCGATGGTTCTTTGTTAGTAGGGGGCATTAAGTCTGAATATCTCATTCGAGAGATGTGTACCTGGTGCGGTCAAGTTGAAGCTGAGAGTATATATAATAGATCAAGAACGATTATGCTGTCAAGAAATTTGCTTGTGAATAGAGATGTCATATTTATATAGTCGTCGTTGTGTTTGCTTCGTATATTTGATGTTGAAGACACGATTGTCAAATCTTCGAATTCATGGGAATTTAAAACTGCGACCCTATGTCGGGCAGTCACAAAAGCATGTGTGCGTGCAAGGGCTCGACTTTGGGAAGCTTTACCGACACAATATTTGTGCCAAGTTCAACAATTTTGTATCTTGCTAATATCTTTACCTGATTTCTCTTCTGCATTCGATTGTTGGTACTTGTTAACCTTATGATCAAGGCAATCATTTTATTGTGTTATTTCTGTTTTTTAATGATCTTATTACCTAAAGCCTAATATGCTTGGAGAACGTATTGAGTTGCTTACGAGAACTTTTGACTACCCAACTGGCAGCAAGTTGTGCTTGTGTGTCATATTCTTGTTGTGTCGAATGTTATGTAAACCAAAATTATGTCCAACAAAGATACGACACATCTATTAAGCACATGGATGAAAGTAACAGGACACATATAACATGTTCAAGAAAGAGGTTTTCATATATAATTTTATGAAACCACATTTAATTTAAAGTACATATAACATTGTTAAATGTGTATAAACGGTCTTTTGGGAGTAACATGTTAAATTGCTCGACATGCTTCAATGCGTTTAAATTGGTGAAAAGTGTCAATCATGACAACTCTATTTTTCATGTGCGTACTTGCTCACTTTGGGCAAAATGTGTTTTTATGAACTGATAGCTTCAGTAGTTATCCGTTCGAGCTAATTCTAGTAATAAGGCTCTTCATTATTTCCAAGCAAATTAAATCAAATCAAACTGCACTTCCATAGTATGTCTCATGTCAGGAGATTACAACAATCAATTGTCACTGGGAGCACATAATATAATAAGTATTTATATCTCTTAATCCTTATTTTGCCTAAGAATTTAAATTACCATGGCGCATTTAAGGCGCGAATAATAACCATTCTGTTTCCTCATTTTTTATTTTTTTTGTTTTCGAAAACAGGTTTGGAATAGAAATCCGTCTGGTAAAATAATTTCATTTTTCTATTTTTGGGATAAATTTTTAGCCCAGAAATAGGTTTGTAACAGAAATAAGAAGTTAAAATTTTCTACTTTTCTATTTTTGGAATAGAAACAGAAATAATAATTCTTTTTTATTACTCACCCTCGCCGTCCGCCGCCTCTGCCCGCCATCCGCCCTGTCTGCCGCCCGCCCGCCCGTCAGCCGTCAGTCACCGTTCGCCGGGAACAAAAATTTAAAAACAACCTATCAAACGAATTTTTATTCTAAAAACAGAAATTTTGTATCATTATCAAATGCTACTTTTGTTCAAAAACTCATATGGAAAATAGAAATAGAAAAAATCTAGGCAGAAATAGGGTTGAAAAAGAGAAATTTTATCATTCGCGCCCTTAGTTGTCATTAATGATAGAAACTAAGGGTTGACAAAATTGTAGTTAAGAAGGCCCTTGAGGAAGCATAATGTCTATGGTTTGACCCGTACAATTGGCTCTACAAACCATATATCGGTAATGATGATATGTACTTATATGAAGTGATTTTCTTTCGTTTTGTTTTATTTACACATTTCTTTTCTTAACTTGGTGTATTGAAATGCAGCATTATGCTAAAGAGCACAAAGATGCTACCCTCGCGCAGGAAGTTATGAAGCTCTTGAAAAAGAATAACTTGCCATTGCAACCCAGCACGGCCGATACTGTTTTCAGGTTCACTTTCATGCTGATTAACCTGATTGCATGCTGTTTTTTTTCTGAAAAGGATGTCATTATCATGGAGTACACCACTAAAGCACTCAACTGTTAACTATGTGAAAAATACTACTCAGTTATCAAGCAATTTATCCAATTTATAAGTGTCTTCTCATAAATGAACAAAATCAAGTTGTTCTTATTTTTATCATTTTGTCTGCATTGCTACTCTCAATTTATTGGTTTACTCATGTTATTTGACATCCTTTTTTTTTTATAGAAATTTTTTTGAAGCATTTGTTATGATCCAGACATTTGGGGTTTCTCACAAAGTAGTCAAAGAGATTTGTCAAGGATGGGGTGAAATTGCATAAAGCTGCATTTAACATCTAGATGTAGTTTGCTACCTAATCAGGTAAAAAACTCAGAGTCTCCCTTTGCCGCTCTCACGCCCTTGTCCCTCAGCAAATTTTTACTTTCGTTTCCTCTCAGAAATAGTTTGCTCATCCAGGTCCCGCCACCTACTAGAGAAGGACGGGATGTGCTAGATATATTCTTCTGCCTAATCAAATAGGCAAAAGGTAGAAATTCAAAGAATTGTCGTTGTGTTGTGTCTTTCAACGGCATTGTTTCTTTCCTGTTATGAGATCATGCTTCTTTATCCTATTAAGTGATTCGAAGAAAATTTACCCTTCTTAGGAGACAGTTTTTTTTTCTTTTGATCGGTCTTACTTTATCTCTCCTCTCACTATATACACTCTCAGACTTTTGAATAAACAAACATTTAAGAGACAATTGAATCTCTATGGAAAATTGAGAAGCTAAAGATCTGAGTCCATGAAGCAACGCACGCCATCGGAAGTGGGTTCTCATGTGTGAAGGTAGTTTACAAACATACACACAGTTGAAATAATGGATATCGGACCTGGTCATTCATTATGCCAAGTCATTATGAAAAAGTAGCACACAACTCCATTGCTAGTTGTGACTTGACTTTACTTGAGTCAAAGTATAGTTGGACCTTTTTGATGTTTCGGTTTTTAAGGCCCCAACTCTCCAAACATAAGATGAGATTTTTCCAAAAATGATGTCCATGTTTGAATAAGTCTATGTTGTTTTTTGGGCCATCGACATTTGAATAAGCCTTGGGAGGGAACATCCTTTGATTAAATTGCATATCGACTCCTCTTGGATCTCTAGCGCCAAAAAAAAGGAAAGAAAAAGAAAATTAATATCATAATCAATACTACATGTGAGCTCGAAATAATGCAAGAAAGAGTCATTCTTAAAATGTAAAGGCAACCATATCAGCAGCGTCAATAGCGGCATCTTGCCGATCCAATAATTCGTGGGATCTTCTACTGCTTCTTCAACTTCTGCATTCCACGAAGCGCGGCCCTTCTCATGCTTCGCTAACTTCTGTTTCGCCATTATCTTCCTGCAGAATGAATGGGGGGAAAAAGAACACAAGAATTAATAAATAGCGGCGACGCTTCCGATCCTCAACTGAATCACATACTCACAAGTATGGAACCACAACATTTCAGACGAATGGAAGCAGTTGCCAACGTAAGAAGCCATGCGTACGTAGAGACAGAAACAGAGCAAGAAGATGGACGAGCTCTGTTCGCCATTGTTTCCCGCTTTTGTATATGGGTGCGAGGTGATCAATGAAGCTCTTTAATCACAAAGGAAATGTCAAAATAAAAAAGGGGGAAAACCCCCCAAGTCATCAGAGTTTCAAATACGCTGGTAAAGTGGACGATCAATAATATAGAAAGCGCCAATCTGCAGAACCGAATGGCAGCAACAGAATCGCAAGCGAGCGACCAGTAGAGCGGGAGCAGCTTGTCTCGGAGTGTCCGTCCTGACTCAATCATCCTCCATCGAAATCCGACCGTCATTCTAAAACTTCTCCAAAAACTCGGTATTCAAACACGAAGCACCCATCCATCCACTTCCTAGCGCAAAACACCAGAGGTACCTATAACCGCACCCACCCCACTAACCCTATAAAGCAAACGAGAGATCCGGCACCAAAATTACAACTAACCCAGTAAAAAAACGGCGCAAGAAAACAGTCGAATCGTCACTGCTTGTTCTAGAGAGAGAGAGAGAGAGAGAGAGAGAGAGAGAGAGAGAGAGAGAGGTCGAATCGGACTCCGAAGTGACAATTCCGAATTGAAAAGGGGAGGAGGAGAGAGTCGGAGGGGGTCGTTCGATCAGATATGGTGTCCGAAAATGGAGGAAGCAGAGGAGGGTTTGCTTTTTTTCGTATTTTTGTTTTATATACTTTTCCGCTTTTATTATTATTGTTATTGTTATTATTATTTGAGCGGTTATTTTTATTTCGGTTTTGGTTCATGCGAGTGGGTGCGAAAATTTCCCACCAGTCAACAGCGGGGGAAATGTAATTTCTTTCCCGCCGCGGGAATTGAAGCCAGCGTCAGCTCACACGCGAGATGGACCCACGGCTCGAGGATCAAGGGTGGTCTGACTTGGCCTCACCGCCTGCGTCTTGATTGAATTCGAGCAATATGGTCAAATATTGAAATCGATCTCTCTATCTTATATGGGAACAGGTCATGGTCGAGGGTGATGGCTGTTTGGACAAACTTGATTGCCGCAAGTAGGGCGAGAGGTAATTGCAATTCGCATTCATGGCATCAGTTACTGAGCTGATTCTCTGATCAAGAGTTTCGATTGTGAGAAGGTGCGAATAGATGGGCTTTGGGATTGAGCACGTCGGCTTTGAGCTTGGACAGTGAGATTTGTATTGTGAATTTGGGCGGATTAGGTGTTTCAGGGTTGGGGGACAATCATAGACTGTGTCGTGGAGCTATAGTGCCTGATTTAATGGGGCAAACTATAGCTATATGATCCCTCTGGTGTACAATTGAATGTTTTCAGAGTATATAACAGACGGGCATCGAGTTGTATTTGGTCACTGAGTTTGGATCAATGCTACGCCTGGAATATTGTCCGATTGATTGAATTTCCTTATTTTTGTTAGATCCAAATCTCATTTTCTTGTTTCTGAAAAATAATTTCAAAAACAAGAAAATCTTAGTCATAATCAATACTACATGTGAGCTCGAAATAATGCAAGAAAGAGACATTCTTAAAATGTAAAGGCACCATATCAGCGTCAATAGCGGCATTTTGCTGATCCAATATGTCCTGAATCTTCTGCTTCTTCAACTTCTGCATTTCACGGAGCCTGGCCTTCTCACGCTTGCTAACTTCTGTTTCACCATTATCTTCCTGCAGAATGAATGGGGAAAAAGAATACAAAAATAAATAAATAGCGGCAACGCTTCTGATCCTCACTGGGTCATTCTTACAAGTATCTAACAACATTTCAGACGTATGGAAGCACTAGCCAACTTAAGTAGTGTATGTAAAGAGAGAAACAAAGCAAGATAGACGAGCTATGGTTGCCATTGTTTCCCACTTTGCAAATGGTGAGGTGACTGATGAAGCTTTAATCACAAGGAAATGTTAAAGTAAAAGGGGAAAACCCCAGTCATCAGTTTCAAAGAAACACGAACAGTTGCAGCCCTGCTCGAGTCCTCTAGCCATGGAGATGCAAAACCAACCCACCAGGAAAAAAAAGGTAAATAAACAGAAATTCCTCTCAAAGAAGGCGTAAGTTTTGGCATGCGCAATATTAAAATTGAACACCATGCCTACACTACGAGCAAGAGAAACTCCTAACTTCCACTCTTCTTCATCCAACTGAGAGTAACACCAGAAAATAGTACACCCCGAAAGAAGAGCAAGAAACAAGTCCACCTCGAAGATGCTTCGACTCTTGTGCTAAGTAAACCTTACAGAACATGTATTTATACGTATATACTTGTGCATTGTTAGACTTCATTCTGCGCACTACGCTAGTAAAGCGGAGGATCAATACAGCAAGCGCCAATTTGCAGAAACGAATGCAGTAAAAGAATCACGAGAGACCAGCAGAACAGCAACTCGTCTCTCGAGGGTCCTAACTCGACATCCTCGATCGAAATCCAACGCTCATTCTAAAAACTTCTTCAAAAACTCGCATTCAAACACGAAGCAGACATCCACTTCCCAGCGCAAAACGCCAGAGAGACCAATAACCGCACCGACCCCCGAGAACCCTAGCAAGCGAACAAAACGATCCGGCATCAAAATTCCAGCAGAAACCACGCAGGCAAACAACCGAACCTCGTCATCATCCTCCTCCTCCTCGGCCTCACCATTCTCGTCGGCCGCGCCGGCGGCAGGAGCGGCGTCGTCGTCCTCCTCGTTGGCGGAGCTGGCGGAGCGGGCGACGGCCTCGAGCTCCTCCTCGTCCTCCTCGTCGACCGGCTCGTTGAGCTGCTGCTGCTGCGGCTCCTCCTCCTCGGAGCCGTCGGACAGGGCCTCGTCGGACGACGCCGGCTGCTTCGAGGGCCTCGCCATGGCGGCTGTCGTCGGCGCTGGAGGCCTGCTCCCCGGCGGAGATCGGCGGATCCGTCGGTCGGTCGGTCGATCGATCGAGTTCGTCGCCGCTCGTTCTAGAGATGGAGAGAGAGTGCGTGAGAGGCCGAATCGGAATCGGAAGTGGCGATCCGAAATTAAAAAAGGCGAGGAAGGAGGAGAGGAGTCGGAGACGGTGTCCGAAAATGGAGGAAGGGGAGGAGGGTTTGCGATTTTTCGTATTTTTGTTTTAATAGTTTTTCCGCTTTTGTTATTATTTTTATTATATTATTCTTTCGGGGTGGTTTTCTTCTCTTTTTTTATTATTTCGGTCGTCATGTTTTTTTCTTCTTCTTTTTTTCATTTTCGTGTAATGCGAATGGGAGCGAAAATTTCCCGCCAGTCGGAGCGGGGGAAGAGAAATGTGGTGTTTTCGGTTTCCCGCCGCGGGAAGTGAAGCCAGCGCCGGCTCGCGCGCGCTGAATGTGGATCCGTGGGGCTCAAGGGTTGGGTGGGTGGCCCTTTTTTTTTTAAAAAAACAAAAGAATAAAAAAGGATGATCATTACTTCTACTCATTACGGTACGTACAGTTTGAGTCATAACTAGTTGATCTATTCATAAATCTACGAGTCTCTCATATTTTTGGATGAGATAATAAATGCCCAAGTTACTAACTAGTTAGAAGTTCATTTATATGATACAGCTCGAATTTGTGAACTCCGGAAAGACTGTGTGACCCTTTTATCGTTGGGTTATCGTGTTTAGAGGTGGGTTCGGTTTTTTCATGTTCTGTTTTTTTTTTCATAAATTGAATAGGTAGTGTATGAGGCTGATAAAAAAAAAAGAGTAGTGTATCAATTAGTTTTGTACTTGTAAACTTTGAGGTAAGTCAATTGAGCAATTGATTTATCTATACTACATATAAAGGAAATGTTTTGAAGATTAGTCTCTACAGAATTGATTATTTTAGGCTCCATTCATTTCATGAAAAATAAATTCCGAGAAAACATTTTCCGAGATTTCCGATGTTCGTTTCACGGAAAATAAACTAGACATGAAAAACATTTTCCCTCAATGGACAAAACACATTCAAAAGTGAGGAAAATATTTTTCTCTTTTTGAAAAGAGGAAAACATTTTCTTCTCCTTCTTTCATCATTCATTACAATTATTTTTGTTTTCTTTTTTTTAAATTCTAATTTTTTTTTATCTTTTAATTATTTTTTCTTTGTTCTTTTTCTTTCTCTTATCTATCTTCTTCTCCAGCTGGTTGTTGGCCACGGCGGCCGCCGTCCGAGGAAGAAGGAAAAAAAAAAGAAAAAAACTTAAAAAATTATTAAAAGTAGTGCAAGGACGAAAATCTTTTCCATACCAAACAATGGAAAATATTTTTCGAGACTTTTTCAGATTTCAGTCGAACATCGGAAAATTGTATCATTTTCTAGGAAAATGGCTTCCTGGAAAATTTTTTCCAGAAACGTAATATTTTCCGTGAAACGAACAGAGCCTTACTCTTCGCAATAATTTTTCTCAAATCTCACTTTTTTCTTAAATCTTCGTTTGATTTGCGATGAATGATTTAGAATATATTGTCCTAAAAATTATCGCTTATAAAAATAAACGAACAGAAAATATTATCATTATCTATGAAAATATTTAAGCATTAATTTTCGTCAATAACAAAAACATTTTCAATCAAATAATTATTTCAAGTAAAATAATTAATATTTTTGGAAATTATTTTTTAAATCATTTTTTCTGAAAAACGAATGGAGGCTTGTAACATGCACTTATTTTGTGAATTAATTTCACTGTAGTTTTATAAATATTCCACTACCAATATAAACTTGCAAGAGCCACCGAATATGGCACGTACCACGCATTACTTTCTTATTTGTATTATTAGTGAGCTAAATGTGAAATAAAAAAATAAATTTATTCACCCTCTTTGCCTTCTTAAAATGTACATTCCTGACTTTTTGTCAAAGGTTTTTTTGTTTTAGTCGAAGGAAAATATTGCTCAAAATGATATTTGAGAAAGATGTAAACTTCGTGACAAAGAAACCCAGAATATTGTCACACAAAGCCAAAACAAGAAAATAAGGAGGATCAATAAAGCATCAACAGAATTAAATACACACTCGTTCCATAAGAATGGATCTATCAAGCAAAATAATCAGCAGTTGATCGTTGGATGTCGTATCTTTGCCAGTAATGAGGCCAAAAATTTCTTTTCCAATAATTACAACATTACCAGTTGGCGATGCGAACCTAGGTTTAGCTTTCTTTACACCATCACCATACGGAGATAACCAAAACAGGTTCAACAAACACATATCTAACGCCCGGAAGAGCAAATTTTTGTGGTTCATTGAGACGCCAAACTCCAGTGATCTCCATTGGAGCTGGAGACTGAGAACCTGTACACGGATAGAGCAGAGGGGTATCGAATCTCCGAAAGCATATTTATTAAACTCCCAAACTTAGATCGAGAGATGATAGCTCCTAAATCTAGAACTAAATTGGGAAAGTTCAAACTCTCACATTTGGAACCAAATCGGAAGAACAGAGCTCTCGGATTTAAATTGGGAAAGAAGAAAAATAAGAAAAGAACAATAAAACATAATTTACATCAACAGTAGATGGGGGGAGGGTGAGACTAGCTCAAGTCCTCGTCCCATGACTAACGGTTGAAAGAGACGATGAATGAAGAGAGAGGGAGAGAGACTTTTTCGGCTCCTACGAATTTGCTTTTGATGATCATATATTTTGTCTGACGTTACAAACTCATTTTATTTTATATTAGTATTTAATCCCAATGTTCGTACAAGTCACATATTCAATCGAGCAATTATAAAACGACAAAATCGTGATTTTTAAGGAGTGATCGGTTCCAAATGTATCCACATTATAAATAGTTTATATATTTTAGACAAAACGGCTTGATTCAGGATTCTATAAGCAGACTTATTTTTTAGAACATAAACTACAGTATCTAGTTCAACATAAGTATACCAACAGAATTCAAGTATCGATACGTGATAGCAAGTCGCATCCTTGAATTTTGTTTCATGATTCACGATTAAGCTCCATTCGCTAGTCACTCAAGTTTAATTACATTTTTCTCAATTTTGAATAAGTCGAGTAATTAGATCGATCGGAGCTTGAATTCGAAATTTTTTTACAGAAGTAGTGGTTGCATTTTCATATAATTTTAGTGTATCTTTTGGAATTCTACTTTGAACCAAGCCGAGTCAAAGTACTGATGTGGAGGCATCATGGGAAGCTCCAAAGGAGAGAAGATAGAAACCCCAAATTTGTCCGAAAGGGCACGCCTCATCCTCTCGGGGCTTTAAAATACAACGGAGAAGAAAATCGCCGCGCAGTCTTTCCCAGCGTCCCGATTTCAGCCAAACTTCCTTCACTGCCCTCGCGCGAGCGACGAAATCACCGAATCTGACACGGAATATGCCCCGCCGGCAGAAGAAGACCCCGAGGGCAAATCAGGAAATATCCGTAAATCCGTCGTCCCCCTCTTTTCCTCTTGCCCCCCAACTCGCCGTAGCTTTCAATCGCCATAAAAAGCGTCCACGGACCCGTGAGATCAGACTCGAAATTGAATTCGATCTCTCTCTCTCTCTCTCTATCTCGACGGGCGATCGCGCCGTTCGATTGCGCGCAAAGCGTTTGCGTAGATGACAGGTAACAGAGATTTAAGCTTTTTGCTGGCGTGGTTTCGTGTTTCGTCTCGAGGACGATGTTCGATCCCGGTTTTCTCTTGCAGGAAATGGAGCGGAACGGGTCGTGGTTGAGGGCGGTGGTGGTTCTGACGTGCTTGGTTGCCGCGAGCGGGGCGAGAGGTAATTGCAATTCGCGTTCGTGGCATCGGTTAACTGCTGCTCTGATCCTCTGACTCGATTCGGATTTGGGAGTTTCGACTGTGATGAGGTGGGATTGGACGAGGCTCTGGTATTGAGTAGGTCGGTTTTGAGCTTGGACAGTGAGATTTGTATTGTGAATTTGGGCGGATTAGGTGTTTCAGGGTTTGGGGGAAATTGTAGACTGTGTCGTGGAGCTGCAGTGCCTGATTTAATGGGGCAAACTATAGCTGTATGATCCCCTCTGGCGTACAATTGGATGTTTTCGGAGCATATAACCGACGGGCACTGTGTTGTGATCGCAGATTGCCAATTGAGTCCGGAAGCCTCTCTATACATTCACATTCTTTTGAAGACAAGTATTCAAGGCTTGTAAGAGCTCCAATCAACAGGGGAAGTTGTGTAATTATGGTGCTTCTGAAAGATAGCCTCGATAGGAGATGTCAAGTGACCAATGGAAGAGATTATCTTCAATAATGAACAATGTGAAGCACTAAGAATTTCAAGATCCTTCAGCACTTGATATTCACCGTTGAAGAATTCAGTAAAGCCTGAATATCATAGATATTTCCCGGAGCACATTCAATTGTTTCTTCTGGTCAACATCATCAAAAAGGAAGAGAACTCTTTTACTAGATAGCCTACCTTTAATTGTCTTGATCCCTTCATCAACATTACTCATTTCAGTCAATTTCCATTTGTGGACACAAGAGATGAGTTGATTCTACAAGTACTGAATGCCCTTGAGCTCTGAAGTATCACGATTGTTAGAAACAAAGCAACAGTGCTCAAAGCCATGTGAAAACTGATTGTAGGTAATTTTGGCGAGAGTCGACTTTATGACACTGCCCATTCAATTGAATTCCAACAATTCGTGTTTCCTGCTTCGTGAGCGCCTATCATACTCATGAGTAAGACTACCTTGAACACCATTTTCACATCAAAAGGTCCATGAATTGGTTTTGGGAGGCGCAACTAAAACTGCTGTGAACACCTCTTTAAGTGCACACAATTTTTCTCCCCGTGCCCTTCTAGTGTTTCCTCGTAACGGAATATTTAGGTACTAATAAGCAAGTTCTATTGCCTGTCAATGAAGAGAACACACATCCAAATGAAGAGCAATATTCATTCTTATGGCCCCACAAAACGGATTAATAAACAATTAGGTTTGCTTAAATAGCCCTTTTAACCCCAAAAACATTACGTGCGATGCCCCAAATTGCACAATGAATCCCTCTGCCCTGCTCTAATGATTTCTCTGGAAAAAAGGGCCAAACATTCAACTAAAACTTCAAACCGAGTTTAACAGATTTAACATTTTCATCAATAGGCAATGACTTCCGTCACTAATATTCAAGTTTCTATCACTCAACAGGTGAATACCACCCCAAGATTGTGAAAGGGAATTTAGTTGACATTATATGTCACCCTCATTTTCCTTTACTTGGTCTTCATTTGTACAACTGCCCCATTAGCCGCAGCTACCTACATAGAAAGCTCTTTGTAAGTTTCTCAAACTCTAATTTCTTTCAACAACATTAGAAACCGGCAAAAAAGCAGGTTGCTGAGATGTCTCCCTTAGCACTTCTTGTCAATCTTAAACCCTAAAAGAGTGCTCTAGTACAGCTTGAGGTGAATGGAATTCTATCACAGAGAATCACCTAGGCACAACCATTTCCAGAAGATGTAGGTGATAATGGAGTTCACACAAGAATCCATTTACATGATTTCTGACTCCAATGAGACTTATCATATGTCCTACACACCAGTAATACTGAAATATTAGCCTTTGACTATAAGATGATTTATGATACCTCGGAGAAGCTAAGTAGCTCCTCTATCCTGCCACAGATGGAAGTTTTTCTGGGCGAACTATTGATGCCGCTACCCAAGTGAAATTCGTCTTTCTCCATTTTATAACTTCTCCCTAACATTTGCAAATCTCAGTAAGAAGCACGCCTATTCTGGACAATAAACTGAACATAAGCATATCAATACAGAGTGTCTGTCTTCTTCACAGTTGCAACGATGAGTTGATTATGCCGTAAAGTTCCAGGATGAGAACCATAGTTATATGACCTTCCAGCACACATTCCATCTAATTGTTTACAGCATAACAAAGTTATCTCCAAAGCAAAGCGAGGTTATCAACTTCGAAATATATGAAGCAGCAAATCGACAAGGATCTCTAATAATTTGTTACATGTCAAATAAAAACTATGCAATCGATATGAATACCTCCAGCTGGGAAACATAAAAGCAAGGAGAAACCATCCAAATAATATATAGCCAAAAAAGCCAAACCAAACAAGGAAAATAGAACGAATATTTGAAAATAATTAAGAACCTTCTGGTTGTACAGATGTATCACAATTTCAATAGCTTCATCAGATTTTCAGTCATCAACTCGTGAAAAGGTAATTAAAAAAGTGCATGTGAAACTTTGCTGTTCATATATGTGAAAGAATTTGATTGCAGAAAAGGGAAAACAATTGTTTGTCAGATGAAATAGGTTACCTCAAGTTGTCTAAAGTTTGAACATGAGGGAACAATTTGTGGTCGTGGATCGAGAAGCTTTCAAGAGCAACGTGCACTTACTCCTCATCTTCTCCCCGAGATTCAGATTCGTTGTCTTCTCTCTCATCTTCAGATTCAGATTCGGCATCATCTCCCTTAGATTCAGATTCGTTGTCTTCTCCATCATGTTTAGATTCAGATTCGTCGTCTTCTCTGTCCCATGCATTGTCTTCTTCCAGAAATTCGACTCCCTTCTCCGAGCAAAGCGAAGAAATTGCCTCCACATCTAATTTCTTGCACCGATTTATTTCAACCTTTCGTAGTCCCATCAAGCTCGATAGATTAGGCAACTCATGTAAAGATTTACAAGTATCAATCTTCAATTTTTCCAAAGATTGTGGTAGTTCGCCTTGAATCTTAGCCAGTCTACCACAGCTACTTATGCAAACCTTTCGCAACCCCTTCAAGCTCGACAGATCAGGCAACTTCCGTAAAGATTCACAGGAAGAAATCTTCAATTTTTCCAAAGATTGTGGTAGTTCGCCTTGAATCTCAGCCAGACTATCACAGTAACTTATGCAAACCTCTCGCAACCCCTTCAAGCTCGACAGATCAAGCAACTTCTGTGAAGATTCACAGAAAGAAATCTCCAATATTTCCAAAGATTGTGGTAGTTCGCCTTGAATCTCAGCCAGACGATCACACCCACTTATGCAAACCTTTCGCAACCCCTTCAAGCTCGACAGATCAGGTAACTTCTGTGAAGATTTACGGAAAGAAATCTCCAATATTACCAAAGATTGTGGTAGTTCGCCTTGAATCTTAGCCAGAAGATCACACCCACTTATGCAAACCTTTCGCAACCACTTCAAGCTCGACAGATTAGGCAACTCCTGTAAAGATTTACAGAAAGAAATCTCCAATTTTTCCAAAGATTGTGGTAGTTCGCCTTGAATCTCAGCAAGACTACCGCAGCGAATTATGCAAACCTCTCGCAACCCCTTCAAGCTCGACAGATCAGGCAACTTCTGTAAAGATTTACAGGAATAAATATACAATTTTTCCAAAGATTGTGGTAGTTCACCTTGAATCTCAGCCAGACTACCGCATCTTCTTATGAAAACCTCTCGCAACCCCTTCAAGCTCGACAGATCAGGCAACTTCCGTAAAGATTCCCAGGAATCAATCTCCAATTTTTCCAAAGATTGTGGTAGTTCGCCTTGAATCTCAGCCAGATTACGATAGCTGGCTACATGAAGACATCTTAGTTCGTTTGAATAACTTAGATCAGGTAGGATCTGCAGCTGGTCAAGGCCTAAAAGCCGCAAATCTCGTGGTTGCATCCGAGCATATGCAAGAATTGCCCCCTCATTTAATTTAGCGCAATTTTCTATTACAACCCGTTGTCTACCCGTCAAGCTTGACAGATTGGGCAACTTCAGCAAAGAAGGGCATGAAGAAATATCCAACCTATCCAAAAACCGTGGTAGTTCCCCTTGAATCTCGACCAGATTAAAACAACGGTATACCCAAAGACTCCTCAGTTTGTTTAAATTGCTTAGATCAGGTAGTATCTTCACCTGTCCAAGGCTCTGAAGCGTCATATCTCGTAGGTTCTCCAGACAACCAAGGCCTCGAATCTCTGCAATTGCAGCGCCCGAAATGTGGAGAGATGATAGATTCGTCAAATTCGATAGATCCTCCATGGAGCAAAGTGAGTCGCAATCATCCAAACATAAGGAGGATAAACTTGGGGGAAGACTCGGGAGGTGACGCAGTTTAGGGCTCGAGAGTACAAGTGACTCGAGTTGAGGAGGGAGGCCTGTTGGTAAGGGGGTAATCCCGCACTCGAGGTCATGTGACTTGAGTTGAGTACGGAGGCTTAGGTCTGTTGGTGAGGCGGTCTCACAATCAAAGCGCAGGGCCAAAGACTCCAGCTTGCTCAAGTTCCCCTTCCACCGTGGTATTGGATCTTCCACGGGCCCATATGATTTCCCATCATAATCACATCCGCTAAATCTCAGATCCAGTTCCTTTAAATTAGTGAGGTTCGAGAGATCTGGAAACGTGTCCATGCACAACTCCCACAGCCGTAAATCGATGAGACTTTCCGGAAGCCTCGGTGGTAGCGCGTATATATCCGCCCCATCCAATCTCAAGATCCTCAGGGATTGATTTCTGGAGATGCAATTGCCAATATTCACATGGTAACCCTTGCGATCAGACGTTCTGGAGGCACGTATTTCTTCGAGCTTCTCAATCGTCCAAAAGGCATCAGGTATTTTGCTTATGCGACTATACTGCATCTCCACTACTTTCAAATTTTTCAATTTTCCGATGGAATCAGGTAGTTCTTTAATCCGTGTGTAGGATATATCCAACTCAACTAGCGATTCCAAATTCCCGATTGTATCTGGAAGCCTCTTCAATGATTTGCAACCACTCAGAGATAGGTATTTAAGGCTTGCAAGATCTCCACCCATCTCTTCTGGCAGCCTCTGAAGATTCTCACAATTGCTTACATCAAATGAAACTAAGCATTTCAACCGATAAATCGATCTATCAATTTCGGTCAATGAATGACAAGTCGATAGGATCAAACGTTCTAAATTTGAATGAGCAGAGAAGTTGGGGGTTCTCTTTAAGTGTGGGCAATAGGACAAATCCAGAACTTTCAAATTCTTCATCACCTGTAAAAGAAAAATTATGCGAAGATTACTTTTGAATCTCATAAGACGGAATAATAAGTGTTGTCTAGCATATAAGATACCTCCATGTGCCTCCACCCCTTCCAATCATCCGTGATTTCACTGGAAGATAGATCAAGAATAGCCACATTCTCCATAGAGAAATTTGCAATCTTAAATGTTGGGGGAATACGATGCCACGAAAGCCATCGTAATTGTGGAAGGAGATCTGAATTCTCATTAGTTGGAGGAACATTTGATGAAGATTCGTGCCAAAGAAGCCTTGCTTCTGCACAGAAATTTCCCATCGAACCGCCCACTTCAAGGAACCTTAAATATGATAGACTCTCAAAGCCCTCATAGGTAAAGCGATACTGCCACTGATTGTCCAACTTGAGACATAAAGCTTCAACTTCTGTTTTCCCCTGCCCAAAGGGAAAATTTTAACACAAAAAAGTTGAAGGGAAACACATCAATTCAAGTCCACTATATTTAGCGGTTGAAGTTCAGTACTATCATTCCCGTAATCTTAAAAGAGCAAAAATATAGGTTGAGGAAGTCGTAATTGTGCTAAACAACACAAAAAGTAACTGGCTTTTTATTTTTTGAAAAAAAAAATCCATAAATACTAGGAATTTATATCGGGGGTATTTTACCTTGCGTATCCTCAGCAAATCTGATCCTTCTTTAGGATCCCACACCCTATTTTGCTTCTCTATTTTCATCTCACTTTTTTGATGAACAATATCTCTTCCAAGGTCTCTGAGTTGGTCGTGCATCCACACTTCATTATCCTCTATAATCTTAATCAAAGACATGTTCTGCAAAACTTCCATGGTTTCTTCCGGATATTTCGATTCATCCCAGAAATGAATCAAAATGTCTTTGTCATATCCAATGAAAAAACAAGCTATATCAAGGAATATATGCCGTTGCTGAACATCTAATGCATCATAGCTTATTTTTAACTTACTCCGAACTGTCGCATGAGGAACATTTTCCAACTTCTTCAAAATGAGATTCCACTTTTCCTTTTTAGTGCCACATAATAATGAACCTATCACCTCAAGAGTAAGCGGAAGGCCTCCAGCAATGCCTATCGCCCTTTTGGATTGGTCGATATACTCGTCTAAAGGAGAATCTCTTCTGAAGGCGTGTTTACTAAATAGTCGAAGAGATTGATTGTCATCCATATAGCTAAGCTCATATTTGCAGTTCACTTCAGGAATCTCAAGAATATCTTTGTTTCTTGTAGTAATAATAACTTTGCTCCCTCTGCCTAACCAATCACGCTTGCCTACAAATGCTTTAATATGATTCCGTTCTTCCACATCATCGAGAAGAAGGAGGACTTGTTTATTCAACAACCTGTCTTTAATTGTCTGACTTCCTTCATCAACGTCTTTTATATCCATGCATTCGGTTTTGAGGATTTTAGAGATGAGCTGATTCTGCAAGTGTTGAATGCCATTTTTTTTTGACGTTTCTCGAATATCACTAAGAAAGCAACAATTCTCAAAATCGCGTGAAAACTTATTGAAGATGATTTTGGCAATAGTCGTCTTTCCGATGCCACCCATCCCATGGATTCCTATAATCTGTGTTTCACTTGTCCCAGCACCTATCATTTTCATGATTTCATCCACTTGGTTATCGTCACTGACCAAGTAGTCTGATACTGGCAGAGAAGCCTTTTTCAACTCATTGAAAACCTTCTGCGTGAATGTTTGCACGAACTTACCTTCTCGCCTGGTGTTTGTTTGAGGTCAAAAGGCAATGAGTTAGAAAACTGAGTTGAAACAAGCTAAGTTTTGACAAGACCAAATTAAAAACTACTGACCAATTCTAAATCTGTTCTTCAACGATTTATTCCATTTAGATGAATTAGCAGTGGCACTTAGGGTTAATGAATGACCTAAACTAACAAAAAATGTTGCTGGGAATGAAATGGGACAAAAAATGAGATTGTGCCATTATTTAGTGTGATTTTACGGTATAACTTCAATTGCACACAATTTAATACACAAATTTAGAAAAGAAACCAATTAAAATGCATTGAGTTTAACGATACAAGGCACATGAGACGGAATGCTAAAAGCAGTCACCTGTTGGGCATGCTTTGCAGGTCGTGTCCGTTTATTTCCCCAACTGCACGGAGAGCAGCCCTCCAGTCTCCGATAGTCTTTTGGTCATATCGCTTCTTGCTTTCATGTGAAAGAAAGGCCTTTTCATAATCCCCAGTTTGGTGCCGAACCTCTGCAGGCGCAACATCATAAAAAATAGGGATGATCTTTTGTCCCCCATTATTCTTGCACTCGACCATTTGGACTACCTCCTTGAGACACCATACACTAGAGGCATAATCTTTCGAAAAGATAGGGATTAAGATCTTCGACTGCTTAATTGCTTGGAGAAGTTCAGGGGCAAACTCTTCTCCTTTGCGGAGATCTTCGTCGTCCTTAAATGTGCGGATTCCTGCATCTTTAAGTCTAGTGTAAAGGTGGTCGGTAAAACCTGCTCGAGTATCTGATCCTCTGAAGCTCAAGAATACTTCATAGTCATATCCTAATGGAGGAGGCATTTCAGGTACTTCTGTTGAAGTGTGAGTACCAGAATCGCCTCCTGCTGTTCCATCGTTTGCAGCTGCATTGTTATTTGCCTCCCCTCCCTCGATCTCCTTCGATCTTCTCTTCAAGAAAAAAATGAACAGCATAGCAGCAAAAACAGGGGCAGCAAGAGATGAAAAAAGTTCGGAAGCCACCATGATCACAAGTGAGTACGAGAATTACAAATGGAGATCTCTGTGGGTCACTAAACGTAGAAGACGGGATAGGCTAGATACGCAGAGAGTTGAGGGCCAGTTTGCTAGAATTGGTCAATAAGAACGTTTCATTATAGCCTGTCAAAGTTGACGAATGCAGGTTTTTTCAAAACCAAAGTGGCCCCTCCTATCTCAATTCTTCTATTTTATCTCCACCGTCATGACGCAATTTAAAAAAAGAAAAATACAATTGCGGGGTAAATAATTGCACATAATTGTAGTGTCACTTGTGGGGTTGGGGTGACGAGTCGGGGCTATTTTGGGGAAAGCAGCCCCCGTCTGGTCATATGAGTCGTTGTTCCTGTGCCGGATCGCGGAGATTTTCTTAAACGTTTTTGGCTCCCCACACACGCACACACCCACCAATTTAACATTACTTGTAAATAACCCGGATTTATTTTGTTAAACTTCAAATGACGAAGAGCCCGTGCTTATAGAGTAAAAGCGCACATCTTTTATAACAACATCAATGAAAAAAAAAGACTAGATACTGCTAACAATTGTAATTAAGATGCCATTAAGCAAAACCCGTTAAGCGAAACGGTGAAAGCATGTCATTTTACATATTATCATTGAAAATCCCCAGAAATCATTGAATTCGTGTGATGGAATCATTCATCAGATACTGCTGGCCAAAAGAAAAAAATCATCTATCAAACGGTGGCCGCTGATCAATCAACTATGGAAGTAATTAACCCAACGGGGACCCCAACGGTCATTCATGGCGAAACGGTCCCGTGAAAATCCGAGGAAAATCTTGTGCCTTTGCGTTGTCGTCAAGACTTTAGTCAAAAAAAGCCCGCAAGGCAAAAAAAAAAAAAAGAACATGAGGATGCATTTCGGTGGCAAGAAATCATTCACTATTGCTCCTTCCTATTTTGCCCCTTCTTTTCCCAAGGAATTCCGTTTCATAGTGTCTTCTTAACCAGGGGTACTAGATCGACACGTCAGTTAAAAAGACAATGTGCGAAGCACAGGTTGACCTAGAAGGAGCGTTATGCAATGCTTCACCTAGTCACCTCAAGTGCGGCCAACCGAATTTGACATGGTGTTTACCTTAGCCACTCAAGGTGTGACATCCTAAAAATTGGTCCATTTGGGATTTATGAAATATTTAGTTTTATAAATGTACTTACAGTTAGTTCTCGCCCGGAATTGATCACTCCTGGGATACTAACTATTAGGGAAAGGCTGAACCAGGATTTAGATTCGTACGACTAAGAGAAAATTCGATTGTGAATTGATTTCGACCATAGAAATCGTCGAGGTGGTATTTTGAACCACTGTTGGCCGATCCAAGGATAGTCAGGGGTCAGTTCGTCACTGTCATAGTAGCGGATCGCGGGTGATTCTGCCGGACCACGAAATGAATTGACGAATGATCCTGAACCTATACCGAACGATCGTATCCCTCGGATCTAGTAATTGATCCTCGCGATTTAAATGACAACCGAAGTCGTCACGAACCGGATAAATTTGCACGTGACTCGATTTATTATTAGTCACTGGTCGACTATGCGAATTTCCCCAAAAATGCCGCCCGTTAGTCTGAGAAACGCTCGAGTTGCGTTTATTAAAATTTAATTATTTAAATTTAGCCCAAATTGGACACCGGAAAATTTGGAAGTCACAACGAAATGTTAGGACGACGTTGCGGTGTGAACGTGCACCTTTGGTTTATTCCGGATTCTTCAGAAAAATTCGAATTTGACAAGAAAATGAGGAAGTGACCGTTTTGCCCCTAAGGCTTTTTAAAGGGTTAGTTTTATGAGGCAATGGCGTTTTGGTCATTTTGCCCCCAAAGTTGGAAAAGACACAATACCCTTGGATATTTTAAAGCAAGATTTGATCCGGGCCGTTGATTTCAAGATTAGATCGAATCTCGACCGTTGGATTAAAAAGGTTAGAGAGGGGCATTTTGGTCATTTCTCCACTTGGGTCAAAACTTGGTCACCAAGATTGACCAAGTCTTATCTCTCTCTCTCTCTCTCTCTCTCTCTCTCTCTCTCTCTCTCTCTCTCTCTCTCTCTCTCCATTCGGTTCCCCCTCCCCCACCGAGAGCCTCTCCTCCGATCACTCTCTCTCTCCGCCGGATCGCCGGCCACCGCCCGCCGTGCCGCACCACCGCTGAGCCGCGCCGCCGTCCCCGACGATCGCCGCCGCTTTCCGCTCTAGCCGCGTTAGTCTAGAGTTCGGGTAAGTCGCGCCCTAAACCCTATTTAGGATATCGGGTATTAACAGACTGGCTAGACACGGGTTAGTTGGTTTAGGGGTTGATGAAAGTGATTATAGATGGACTAGAGGAGAGTTTGATCCCTTATTGTGTTTATGGATGTTCATGTGGCTGTTGGATGTTAGTTTGGACATGATGGAATGAGTTTTGGCGGGTGAAATTCGGTAGAAATCAATTCGGGTTTGAATCCTTGAGGTTTGGTGTGATTCTCGGATTCGCGGTTACTGTACCCATCCAGTTTGCTATTTTTGTGGAGAATTTTGTGGGCCGAATTTGAGAAAGTTTTCTTCATGAAAGTTGCTCCCAATATCTTGAAGTATAACATATTTTAAATTTGGAATTTTTGGAGGCCATTTGGGTCGCACGAAAATCCATTTTCAGACCGTCTTGAAACTGCCCGGAACACTGTTCATCCCGACCTTCTTGTCTTGCCGAATTTTTATAAAATTTTCCAGATCTATTTTCAATATACTTCCTTCGCAAAAGTTGTTGACGACTGTCATTTCTATGACATATAAAAATTTCAAAGCTTTTTAAGGTGATTTGGGTGTTGAAAGAAATGTATTTTGAGGACAAAACAGTCTGTTAGAGCGAACTGATTTTGGTCTGATTTCGAGGGACAAAAAGGCATGGTTGCAGATTGAAACGGATTTCATGTTCTTCATAACAAATGTTTATCAAGATGTTTTTTATGATATATCCAAAATTTAGAATTTTTGGAGTTTGTTTACTATTTATTTTGATGGGATTTCGGTCACTGTGTAAACTATCCAGATTTACCCCGATTCCTTGGATGTTCATTTTTATGAGCGGATTGGTGGGGGTGTCGAGGTTGAATAGTTGCTGCCCTCGTGACCGAAATTGAGGCTTGAATGTGTGTTACATGAGTTGATTTGAGGATGAAATGAGAATGTTTCGGGGTTGAAGTGAGACTAAGTAAAATGCTAGACATTGTGGATTGAATTGACGAGCTTAGGGTTCGATTTAAGGACAAGTGGTGTCGGTTTGGTGTGTGGTAGTGTGGCTGGATTGTGGTGTTTAATATGGTTGGAAATGAGCTTGAGAACGCCGAAATTATGCTATGGTCTTGGTTGTGATTGTGGGCCCGTTAGCGGCCTTGTATGTATGTTGAATTGTGACTTGATTGCTTGAAATGCTGGTCGTTATGTGCACGCTTGGGCTGAATTGGTTTTAATTGTCAATTGGCCGTGTGGAATGCTTAATGAGCATGAGAAGGTGCGAGAATTACTGCGTGTACGGGCCTTGTGTGATTGGCCAATTTATTGGCAAGTGGATAATGAGCATGCGAATAAACAAGAAATTGTGTGTGGTGTGGCAAGTGTGATTGTGGAAATCCCTGAGGCGTGTACTTCAACGCGGGGAATTGTGCCGTCCTGAGGCGTGTACTTCAACGCGGGACGATGCCCAGTATTACGGGAAGACTGCCAACCTGAGGCATGTACTTCAACGCGGGTTGTGCAGTAGGTGGTAGGTGTTGAGCCTGAGGCGTGTACTTCAACGCGGGCAAGAAACATGGCCTGAGGCGTGTACGTTAACGCGGGCCCTGAAGTGTTGTGATAAGTGGTTGCAGTGGACCTGAGGCGTGTACTTCAACGCGGGTCACTGGCGAGGTTTGAGGAAGCAATGTAATAAGCCGGGAATAAGCGCGTGAAATAAAATGTAATCGCGCATGTGATTGAATATGTTGTGGTTGTGGCTAACGTGTAGGTTGCACGCTGGAAAGGCCCAGGTAAGTCTTGATTGTATGCCTACAGTGTGATAGCTGAGTGTGATTGCTTGTTGTGATTATCTGGAGGTACGTGATAGCCTAGGTGGGATTTATGGTGTGTGCTTATTGAGATGTGATCTCATGGTTGTTTCAACCAATAATTTCAGAACCCCAGCCTGAGCAATGAATCTTCCTCCGCCGCCGCAGCATTTTGGGATACCGATGCACACCGACCATGATGTGGTAGAGTACCCAACAGACGAGCAAGAGATTCAGAGGGATTCAGACTCGAGTTCTGAGGAGTCGGACTCGGAGTGGACGCCATCTAGAGGGCGTAGGGGTTAGTTTTAGGGGTTGAGTAAAGAATTTTGAAGTGTCTCATTTTGGAGATAGGGTATACCCCGACTATTAGGCATATTTTGGATATCGGGGATATATGGTGCAGAAGTTCGATGTGCATGTAAATTACATGCATCGTATATGGTGGATGTAATATGGTGTGCATGTGCATATTGGTGGTTTTGTAAGATGTGAATATTATGGTCTAAGTTGAATGAGAAATGGTTATGTGTATTCTCCCTATTCTCCTCAGTTTTAAATTGTCCGGGTGTTTATGATTCCCCTGATCGTTCTCTATCTCTGATGATCGTAAGCGAGGTCGGCGATACCCTGAGATATTGCACAAATCAACCAGTTAAGGGTGTCGCGTGCTTGATAGGGTTCAGGGCGTGACATAAGGCCCCCAGAAGTTTCCTCCGAATATTTGTCTTCCCCGGAGAAAGGGAATACGGAGAAAACTTACATGGAGATCTCTCCACCATTGAGATCGTTTTTACCAACTTCGCTTTTGTTCAAACAATTCTAAAAATCGTGCTAAAGCTGATTGTTGATGATTTTGGCTATAGTCGTCTTTCCGATGCCAACCATCCCATAAATTCCGATAATATGTGTTTTACTTGTTTGAGCACCCATCGTTTCCATGATTTTATCTATCTGGTGATCGACACTGATCAAGCAGTCCAACACTTCCAGATAAACCTTTTATAACTCATTTTAAGAAAAATGGTATGGAAGAGATTCTTGCTTTGCTTTTGTCCTTTTTCGC